ATTGCAATTTTGCAACTACACAAAAAATACATATAGTGTACGAAAATGGTCTTTTCTTGTGCACTTTAAGGAAGTGTAAAAATTAGGAAAGAATTTATTTTTATAAAATAAAAATATTTTCTCTTTTTCTTTGTTACATTTTCCAATTAGGACTAATCTATAACCTTGTCATATCCATCTCCATCATCTTCAAAAATTCAAATTTGCCAAAGCACCTTTACACACTAGTACAAATTTTAATTTTTAAAAATAACTTTGTTTTATATTATCTCAAGTATTTTGAAAGAATTTTTTTTTTGTATAGTATCGAAACCTAGCAATGCCATCAAAATAAGTAAATTTAATTTTTATTTACTTCTCATCTTTTATCTTTTCTTATGTATGTCGAGTAAGTTTAGAAAGAAGATTCTTGATTTTTCTTGCATTAAATATATGAATAAAATATATTATTATATCTCATAATTCTTTTTATATATAATTCACGATGTAAAGTAGGGTGAAGGTTAAGCACGTAGGGTACTGATGGAGATGGGTTAATGAGTGGTAAAGTGAAACGAAGATAGAAAATGATACAACTCACGTAAAATGTGATTTATGAAACTTATTTTTTACTTATCGAAAAAACTTATAGTACTAATTACTAAACGCACCCTAAAAAGAATGAGCAACATGTGTACTTGCCAACATGGGGAATATGTGAACGTTAACAACTTAACTAGAGAAAAAAAATGGAAAAAATAAAATAAAATGTAAAAAAATTGTACAAATATAGTAGGAGAATCTTTTTATTTCTAAGTGAAAAATGAAGATTTTTTTTTGGATAAGTTTTAGCCTCATAACTATAAAGCATGACTTAAATTAGGACTTTTTTTTTATGCACTAGAAATGTAAAATAGTTTTTCCACAATCAAGTTGCTTTGAAATTAATTACTAACTTTTTTAATTGTAAGTCTAAGTTGGTAATTTAGAAGAAAAAAAATCAATTATAATTTTTTATTATTTCTTAAGTTTCATGCTTACGCAAAATGAAAATAGGAGAGGAAAACTATCATTTTTTTCTATTTTTTTTAATAATATTAAAGTCACTCAATTTTAAAATGTAGAACATAGAAAACATTTTTTTTATTTTTTCACTTAAAAGTCTCTCGATTTCAATCAAATTAATTAAAAAATAAATTTCTAAATAATTATTTTATGATGAGTAGGCAATTTAACCTGCACATACAGCCAAAATGAGTTAGAATTAAAGTAAAAATTGTCGTAGTCTCTCACTCCTTTTTCTTCTACACAAAGTGGAGATCAATATCAACTTTAAGAATTCGTCATGTATTGATGAGATTGTTTCATATTTAATCAAATATTTAAATATAAAATATAAATTTTTAAAATATATAATTTAAATTTAATTAAACTCTAATATTAATTTCGAATATCAATATTTAAAAGTAAAAAGATATTCCCAACTTTGATCTCTTAACTTTTTTCATAAAAAATTGTATATTTTCTGAGTCAGAAAAGTTGCATTTTTCAATGACAAACACAACGTGCCTCTGAACCAGTGCTGGAAAAAAACTTTTCTTTTACCCTTTGATATTGTCTTTCTATTTTGAACAAAAACAAACCAAGGACAATTCCGTCATTCTCTCGTGGATAATTTTGATAACTTTTTTATAAAAATTAATATAATATTTAACTTATAATTTAAATATAAGTAACAAAGAAATTTATGTATTATTAGAAAGAGTTTTCTTTTTTCTCTTTTATGTTTGGTGGATGAATTTTTTCTTTTGAAAAACTTTTAAGCTAGAAATTAATTTCGTTATAATATAGAAAAATGATTTGCATAGTAACGCATAGAAAAATAAATTATATAGTAACATTCATATTAACGGTCTTTTCCGACCCTCGTCCATCCTTATAACCTTAATCAAGAAACCTATGAAATTTCTGATCTTTCGTAAAATTAGATATTTTATTTATTAACAGTTATATTACGAAAATACTAATTAGTATATTTGATTAAAGAAGCAGGAGTAAATAGAGGCAGAGCTAGGTCGTGGTTTATGGTTCAGACGACTTAGAGAAGCATTAGTAAACAGAGACAGAGCTGGGTCGATGTTCTTGGTTCAGACGAATCTAATAGCTTTTTCGTAGACTTTATATTTATATTCAAAAGTTGATAAAAGATTTATATATTATATTAATATGTAAACCGCTAACGAAATTAATTAATGATAATTAACAAAATTTAAAATCCCTAAATCCTAATTTCACCTCTAAACGTGTAAAACCATTTATTCTAAAAATTCTGAATTCGTTTCTGTTGGAAATCACTATCTCATTTCCTTGGTACCAAACACACCTTTTTAATCTCTATATAAACCCCCCTTTAACCATCTCCCATTTCCCACAGCAAAGATCAAAATTAGCCATGGCTTCTTCTTCTGCAAAAATTCTACTTCCCCTCTCTCTCCTCTTCACCCTTTTATCTCTCTCCCAATCCACTAACCCTAATTTCATTTTAACCCTAGTTAACAACTGTCCTTACACCATCTGGCCCGCAATTCAACCCAATGCCGGTCACCCTGTTCTCGAACGAGGTGGATTTACCCTTCACTCACTTACCCACCGCTCTTTCCCCGCTCCCAACGCTCACTGGTCCGGCCGAATCTGGGCTCGTACCGGCTGCAATTACCAGCACGGAAAATTTTACTGCGCCACCGGAGACTGCGGCGGACGAATCGAGTGCGATGGACTCGGTGGTGCCGCCCCAGCTACATTAGCCCAGTTTGTTCTACATCACGGACATGCCGATTTTTCTACTTACGGTGTTAGTCTAGTGGATGGTTTCAACATTCCTCTTACTGTAACTCCACACGAAGGTAAAGGTGTTTGTCCAGTTGTTGGATGCCGGGCGAATTTGTTAGAGTCCTGCCCAGCAGTTTTGCAGTTTAGGTCACATGGTGGTCATGGACCTGTGGTTGGTTGTAAAAGTGCTTGTGAAGCATTTAAATCGGATGAGTTTTGTTGTAGGAATCATTATAATAGTCCACAGACCTGTAAACCATCGAGTTATTCCCAGTTCTTTAAGCATGCTTGTCCTGCTACATTCACATATGCACATGACAGTCCTTCACTTATGCATGAATGTTCGTCTCCGCGTGAACTAAAGGTCATTTTCTGCCATTAAAATGGTGGAGAAATCTGGAATAGCTAGTATTGTTGGGGTTGTAATGGATTTTGAAAATTTTATGTAATGTTATTTGTGTTGTTAATTTTAAGTTTTGTGTTTTGGATTTTGAGGAATTAGTGTGGTTTTATATAATGATAAAAATTGCGTTACTTTCTTATTTTTACCGTATACATTTTCTTCTCAGTAAAAAAAACTTAAATATGTTATTGAATTTTTAAAAAAAAATTTGATTCATTTATGTTATTACTTTGGAAGAAAAGATTTTATTATTTTTTAATCACGTTTTCCAAAATTATTTTTGATTTAATTAAAATATTGATGATGTAGCTAACATATAATTATTTATTGTTAAAAAATAACGGCACGAATAAATTTTTTTTAAATAATAATAACATAAATAAGCTAAATTTCTAATTAAGGACGCATTTTTTAAAAGTTCAATGTCATATTAAAGCCTTTTTCGTTTAGTACACTATCGTATTAAACTCTTATGTTAAAATCACGTGATGTTATGATTTGGATTTTCTCGAGATTTACTTGTGATGTTATGATTTGGATTTTCTCGAGATTTACTTGTGAGATAAAACGGATATGTCATTGGTGTTGAATGTCTTCTTATTAGATTTGCCTTGATACTTATTTACAGGGCTTATTACATTTCATTAGTGAAAAATATTAAAAATAAGTTGAGATTTAAAGTAATGTTATAAATATAATGGGAAAAAAGGTTTTTTCTTTTTCTTTTGGTATATTAAAATGAAAAGAGTAGAAGTAGATTTATTTCCTTTTTTAATATAGTAAATTAGTACTTTGAGAAATTTAGTGTTTTCTTAAATTTTGACCATTCAAAATGTTAGTTACCGTGGTTAAATTTCTTGAAACACGTTAATTGAAAGAAAAAAAAAGTAATTATTAAGATTTTACTATTCCCATTTGTTCGATTTTTTTTTTAGTTTGTTTATAAAAATATGTCTTTTTCTTATTTATAGATCAACTTTCCACACATGCGTTCTTTTTTTAAAAAAATATGTAGTCTAAAATTAGATTCAAAAGTTTTTATTTTCTTTAAAAAAACTTTATTATGTGAAACTAGAATGAACAAAATTAAAATAGAGAAAATAAAATATTCACTGATTGGATTATGCCTTTATTCCATGCTGACTCTACCAAAACCTTTTAAAAGAAAATTATACCATCAGTATTTACAAAACTAATTTTCAATTTTATTTGTCATATTTTTTTAATTAGATTATATTAAATTAATATTTTAAATAATTTTTTTAAAAAATATTTAAAAATTATATGAAAAATATAATAAATTACAATTTTTCGCATATCAATATGATAAAAAGATACATTTTAAAATATTAATCAAAATTTTTATATTTTCATTCTAAAAATAAAAATTATCACAAAATAATAGTGAACGGACCGAAGTAATATTATTTCTTAAAATATAACATGTTCCGCAAACACCATGAAATAATTTATATTGAAAGGGTAACTTATTACTATAAGGAAGTAGTACTCAATTTGAAAAGATAAATAATTAAATATAATAAAACATAACAAAGTATTCAAAATTTAAACATTGGATGCCACATTCTAAAAGGGAGCCAACATTTTCTGTACATTTTCTATCAAAAACTTTGGACTTATTCCATTATTTTATTTATTAACTTTGCGTGGAGTGTTTTGTGTGTTCCTGACATATTCACACACACACTCACCTTTGGATTTTCTAATAAGACCAATATCTCGTTCCCCAACCATAGTTTTTTCGATAATTACGATTCGATTAAATTTGATTTTTTTATATTAAATTGAAACATTTAGAGGCTTAGAATTTGATAAAATTATGTACTGAGCAAATAATGTAAGCTTTTAACTTTATTTTATATTTGATTTTACTATTAATATAAATTAAATACATGAACAAAGTTTGATGTAATTAGTTTAAGAATATAATATTTTATTAGATTTATATATATTAGCTTTTTCGCTTGATTTTCTCCAATTTTGCTAGACTCTCTCCCTATATATCTATATCTCAACATATGTATCTAGGTTTTCTTCATGCCTCGCTCATCTTCTTCTTATATCTAATAGCAAAATATATACGAATACATTTATGTAACTTGAAGTTTAGTAATATGAAATTATTATTTAGTTAAATTATATGAGAAAATAACACTATAGTAGATATGATAAGACCATTCATATAATTGAATAGTTTTTCTTTAGGGTACCCCTTTTTCTTATGAATTAAGTATTGTTTTTCTCTCTTTTTTCGTTGTGATATGCTTTTCTCCCTTTTTATTTACTTTTTGGCAAAATTTTATCTCATTGGTTTTCACGTGTCCTCTTCTTTTGTCTTGTCCATCTTTTTTTCTTTAATTTGAAAAAAAAAAAGTTTATTATAATCAGAAAAATTGGTAGGAATTTAGTCAGAAAATTTAATAACTTTTTAATTTTAAAATAATTTTCATTTTTTAATAAAAATAAAAAATAAAATAAAATTACGTAGACTAAATTTTCTAGTCAAGAATTTTTTTTCTGTTATATTTTATTGGCGGGAGGGGATCCTTATCCACCTACTCTTTTTGTTTAAAAAGAAAATTATTTGTACGTTTATCATTTTTTTTTCTGTTCTCATTTATGCTTTTTTGTTAACAAAAAAGCGGTAAGATTGTACTAAGATGATAATGAAATTAAAAACATTACTAATAACATGTTTCCTTATAATTTCACTAAATTTGGTTGATTATGAAATGCTTATTAAGTGGTTTAATTTTGTTAGATATTTTAGTATAATCTAAATATAATTTACATCATTCGTACATAAAATTGGAACTTTATAATTATAAAGATGAACAAGTTAGAGTAAATAATAACTATTTATTAGAAAATATTAATATTTTAAATAATAATTGAAGGAAGTGATCAAAATTAGAGAATATGATATGATATACATTCGAACAATGATAGTGCGTATTGAAAACTTTTGAATTAATTTATTTTAAATATTTTTAATTTTAAATATTTATTGCATTTAAATAAAACGAATTAAGCCAAACATTAAAAATAACCCAAAACTTATTCAAAAATGTATGGACATTACTTTATTGATAATTCAATTATATAATAATATGAAGTTATCGAATAAAAGATATATGTATATATATATATATATATATATATATATATATATATA